ACACACACACACACAGATAAATTGAGGGTTTGTTGTGTTTTACCTGCAGTAAAAGTCAGATCCAACCATCCTACTTCACTTTTTTCTCTTCTGATCTTGGAGGGGCGAGCCCCGATCACTCAAACAGGTTTCTCTCTCTCTCTCTCTCTCTCTCTCTCTTTAGCTCCGCCCTCTCTGACCTGCCAGTCCTGGCTTGTCTTCTTTCCCCTCCTTTCCTGAGATTACATCCTGTCTGCCAAAGAAGCCACAGTCAGACCCTCAGTTCTCTCTGGGCAGACCAACAGCGCCCTCTGGTGGCCCTCGCCGGTGGTTCATTATTACCCGTGCAGTGGGTACATATGTAATTATGTGATTTTAAAAAACATGGGCACAAACAAACTGCACGCTCTTAAACTTAATCGAAAGTTCAAAATGTAAAATAACATGGACTTTCAGTGCTTTTACTCCATTTAAAACATGGAACGTTTTTTCCTTTTAGTCTTTTTGACGTCATGTTTAATTTCCAGTGTTACCAAATTAACCTGGAGTAAAGAAATATTTCTGCCTGCTTACAGAGGCTGCTGCATCCTCCAGGTGTTACTGAGCTCACTGAGCTTAAACGCCGGACTGTGAGCTCAGGTAGGTGACGACCGTCTGCAGGCTTCTCTGAAGCTTGATCAGGAGATCACGTTAACACCCAGAAGCAGGACATGGGTGAACCGTCAGGGTTTTGTTTTTAGTGGCGTGTAACCGGTGTGTTCCTGCATTGTCTCCGACAGAAGGGTAGAAGGAAACACTTCCAAGTAAACAACTTTCCAGCTCCTCTCCCACAGGGGAACTGTAGAAAAGGGGCTGCATTTATTTTTACATTAAACATGAAGTACAAACTTACATGAAAAAAAACACCTGACATACCTGACAATGAAAGAAAGACCTCCAAGTAACATATAAACAGTGTGGACGAGCGTGAACCAGACTCACTACACTTTCATGCTAGCATTAACAAAGCCTCTACACACGAGACACACACAGCATTTAGTAAAGACAGTCGTAATGACGACAATAACGAACTAAAACACACAATGACAAACATCAAGGTGGATAAAGATATAATTTGGAATAATTCCCCCACAGGAAATTATAGGAAAGGAGAGAGGCCAAAGGGGTAGCCCAAATTTACAGGGTTGCACCAAAGAAGAAGAAAAGGATACAGAGGCGCTCTAACTGATAATAAAGATGACTACAAACTTGGAGGTCCTAAAGGTCGGGTATACCAGGGACAAATGTGGGTTTTAGAACATGTTTTGTGTAATTATAACCATATGTAATTAATGACCCAGTTGCATAAAGGTGGAGCTGATGGTGGAGCTGTAATACAGAGTTTGGGTCTCAGAGGCAGAGATCATGTAAAACAAGTTTATTGATTATTTATCAATAAACAAACATGGATTTGTATTTCGTGCTGATGAACGTGATGCTTCTGGAGCTTCAGGCGAAGACCCGTCATCTCAGATCTGAAACAGAGAAACAGTCGAATAATCACAGAGTCACATGATCACTCTGTCATGCTGGTTCTGGCGTGTTTCACAAGTTCACACACCACTCCTCACCATCGTCATGAAAAAGTAAAAGTTTTACCAAATAAAGGTAATTTTTTAAATGTTCTCTTAAAAAAATAACGAAATCATTCTTCTTGCTTCAGCTCGTGCTCTGCTGCTGTCTCAGTGCGAATAAAGTGAGGACATTTCTACAGCTTCATTTGGAAAGAGCAGGTTCATCACCTCCCATGTTGATATCGGCCAGACGCTCAGTCAGATGATCAGCCAGATCGTTCCTGGCGATGGCCCTAAAAATCTCAGTGGTAATGACCACGGCCTGATGGGGGCGATGCTGCATCATCAGATCCACAGTTTCATGTCGGTCTGCCCTCTCCTGCTGGTATGCAGGTATATCCCGCATCCTGAGTCCCAGTTGCCACTTGAAACTCTTAAACTGCTCCTCAGTCAGTCTATTCAGCTCTTCCAGGAGCAGTATCTTGACCTGTGCCCTGTTAAAAATCACACAACTTTAGATTCCTGCAGAAGAAAACTGGAAAAGCATTAAAATAATTCTGCTTTCCTCTAAGACAGACACTTCCTCACAGCCAATCACAGAGCAGTGATCAGGAACGCCTGGCAAGAAGTGAAACAGGAATGGCCTGCAGCGCTCTACAAAGGTGGATGGTCGTCTTATAGAGATAAGGGTGATTTCAGAAAGCATGAACGTAAACTGAGTTGCACACACACAACAACATAACCACGAACCCCCTCCCCCACCCAATTTTCCAACGACTTCTTCCTCGTAAAAACGTGCGAATAGTTTAAGGGTTCATACAGGAAGTTTCACTGGCACATGTTTATCCTAATCACATCCATAAGAAGGAAGGAGGTCGACAGTCAAGCAGAAGTCTCATTAAAAGTTCTTTAAACTTTAAACACTCACTGATTTTCTTCCATCGTGCTGTGTCCGCTCGCTCTGAAGAAGACTTCCTTCTTCCTCCTAGCTCTGTGACGTCAACACGCAAGGACTCCTGGGAATTGGTCCCGTATGCCTAGAGCCGTAGAGCTGTACAGTATATTAATAAATACGGGAAGCCAGACAGAAAAGAGGAACTTTGCCATATAAGCAATGTTTGTATTGAAACTGTGACGTGTAAAGTACCAAAATAAAACCTATATGAGACACAGTTTATAATTCTAATGTTAGAGATCCTGCAACTGGCGTTTGGGCTGTGCAGAGGTCTCTGTCTTCTGGAAGATGATTGAATAAAAAGAAATATAAATGTTTTAACATCATGAGTCGGTTTTCTCTGTTCTATCATGGGGACAAAAGAATCGGGGTTAATAAAATGAAACCAGAATACAACTGCAGAGGTTTACCTGAACACAGGTGTACTCTCAGTCTGTGTCACGGTTCTGGATCTTTGACCCAGGGTTTTGTGTTTATGGACTTTTCCATCTCATTTCCTGGTTTTGTTTTCTTGTGCTTATGTTGTTTGGTGGTTATTTGAGGTTGTTGAGTTTCCTTTCTGTGTTGTTTCCATGTTTATTCACCTCTTACATTCTTAGTCTAGGCGTGTAGT